GGCCCATTCCCACGTCAATGCAACAAGTTAGAAGTTTCCATGGCCTTGCCTCTTTCTATCGGCAATTTGTGGATTTTAGCACCATCACCACCCCCTCACGGATTTGACAAAAAATCAAAAGTTTGAATGGAATCTGAAATCCCAACAAGCCTTCGAAACTCTATCAAGGAATGCTTGACACATGCTCCCGTGTTAGCCCTTCCTAGTTTTGAAAAGCTATTTGAAGTGGAATGTGATGCCTCGGGAGTTGGCATTGGGGCTGTCCTAACCCAAAAAAGGCATCTGGTGTGGTACTTTAGCGAGAAGCTAAACCATACAAGAAGGCGATATTCTACCTATGACAAAGAGTTCTATGCGTTGGTGCGTTCACTTGAACATTGGCGGCACTACCTTATGAGTAAGGAGTTCATCCTTCACTCCGACCATGAGGCGTTGAAATACATACAAGGGCAGCACAAACTTCGACCCCGACATACCAAATGGGTCGAATACATCCAAACCTTCACCTTCACCATCAAACATAAAAATGGAACCATGAACAAGGGCGTTGATGCCTTATCCCAGAGGCATTTATTACTAACGGTACTTAGTACCAAACTTGTTGGTTTTGAGTTTTTTTAGGAACTTTACAAGGAAGATGAAGACTTCAAGGACACCTACTCTAAGTGTCTCTCTCAGCCCTATGAAGACTTCCTAATCAAACACGGGTACTTGTTCCATGGTAATCAATTGTGCATCTCGAAGTGTAGTGTTTGTGAAACCCTCATAGACGAGGTTCATGGTGGCAATCTAGCAGGTCATTATGGTGTCAATAAAACCTACTCGATGATGAAGGAACACTATATTTGGCTAAAAAGGGAACGGAACGTGGATCACTTTGTCAAACACTATCATACTTGTCATCTAGCTAAAGGACATTCCTTGCCGCAAGGAAAGCATCTCCCGCTTCTCGTCCCACTTGCACCTTGGGAAGACATTAGTTTGGACTTCTTCATCGGGCTGCCTAGGAAACAACGGGGCAAGGATTCTATCATGGTCGTACTGGACAGGTTCTCGAAGATGGCGCCTTTCGTACCTTGTGTTACCACCTACGATGCTTCACAAGTGGCTGATCTCTGCTTCCGAGAGATTGTAAAACTCCATGGCGTTCCCAGAAGCATGGTCTCGGATAGGGATACAAAATTCCTAAGCCACTTTTGGATGACCTTGTGGAGAAAGTTGGGTACTAAACTTGAGTTTAGTACATCTAGCCACCCGCAAACCGATGGGCAGACTGAGGTCACCAACTGAACCCTTAGAACTCTCCTCCGAGCCCTCATCAAACGGAACAACAAAAAATGGGAGGAGCTACTACCACATGCCGAGTTTTCTTACAATAGAACCCCAAACAAGACCACCGGCTTATCCCCCTTTACGCTTGTCTATGGTTTGAACCCTTTAACCCCACTTGAGCTTGACCCTGTTATAACGGATACCAGGTACAGTTGGGAAGCTGAAAAGAGATCAACAGAGATTCAAGACCTTCACAATAAGGTTCGAGAGAAGATTGAAGCCATGAACGAGCAAGTGAGTGCACAGATCAATAAGAGGAGAAAGAGCATGAGTTTCCAACCCGAAGACTTGGTCTGAATTCATCATAGAAAAGAGTGTTTTCTGAAAAAATTCAAATCCAAGCTACTACCAAGAGCTGATGGCACATTTGAGATACTATAGAAGATCAACGAGAATGCTTATGATATACCCAAGCCCGGCCCTATCATACCCTCTCTCACATCCCACACCATCATGGAAACCAAAGGACTTATATTCAAACATTATGATCCATTTTAGTTGAAATCAAAGGTCCTAAAACTCGAAAGGCCAAAACAACCTCTGTTTAACCCGAGGGTTCCATTGGTCACTCCCATTTCAATTGAAAACCATCCCAAAACATCCAAAAATATTTTATACTACCTCCGTCCTAGAGTATTTGTCCACTTTCATTTTTACACACCATCTAATACACTTCTTTAATCCATTTTATCTTGTAATTTGTATATTAAAAAATTATAGAAATTATATATTAATAATCTATATGTTAAGACAAATTAAATAAGATCACACGTGACTATATTTAGGATTACACATTGAGAGAATTTGATGATTCAAAGTGCTTAGATGAACAGTTCCAAAAGTCAAAAGTGGCAACTATAGCGGGACGGAGGGAGTATCTATTTTATATCCAAAATAAAAAAAATTTCTTCATTTTTACTGCCTTGGCCAAAAATAGGACCAAAAAGACAAAACAAAAACATTTTGTGTGTTGTTTTCTTTCTTTCATTCTCTTCATCGAATAAAGCCTTCCCCCACTCTTCCCCACTTCATAACCACGAAATCTCATCCATTTTCGTCCCAAAAATCAGGCCACAATCATCCCAATACCAAGCAAGACACAACCTACTCATTAAAATCAAATCAGGAGACATTGATTCGATATGTCTTTTGTTTTGTTGTGTAATATCATCAAGGCATTATCTCCTCACATTTTCTTGTCCCTAGGCTGAATTCACCATCCCAAATCAATCAAAGCATCATTCAAATGTGACCAGATACACCCCCCTTTGTCCCATGGGCAAATACATCCCCCCTTTGCCTTGATTTTGCATCTAGCCAAAAAAACCCTCATTCCTCATGTCCCCGCTTCACCATCCACGAAATTACCACCCCAAATGGAGCCAAAATGAAATCCTTAAGAGCCTTTAACCTTGTTCAATGAAGACAGCCCATTAAGGATAAAACGAATGGTCACTACAGCCCCACAAAACTAAACTCCCATCTCTGATTTTATCCCATCAAGAGGACACAAACACATGGTCATTACAGCCCCACAAACCACACCCCTATCTCTGATTTTACCCCACCAAGATGACAAAACACATGGTCATGACATACAAACCACACCCCTATCTCTGATTTTATCCCACCAAGAGGATACAAACACATGGTCATTATTTTCAAGATTTGAGAGAGGAAGTTGCTTGGTAGTTTCCTTGTATTTGCATTCATTGTATTTGTGTGTCCCCCCGTTTTCCTCTTATAAATTTCGGCAGTAACATACAACTTTTAATATTAAAACTTTGTTTACTCTTTGAGTATTCTTAAAATTAAATTGTGTGATGCTATTTTTGTCCAATTCCTAATTCTATATCTTAAGAGTGGTTATCTTAAGTGTGAGTTTTAGGTTCTAGATATTTGATTAAGTGTGTAATATCTTAATTGAATTCTAGATTCAAACCCCAAGTTAAGATAAGAGTGTGTAATATCTCTTAACATCAACTTGGTTTTATCCATCCCTGATTTCTTCTATTTCATATCTCCTCATTTCTCTTCTTAATCTTATTCTTTTCTTGCATTAAAAACACAAAAAATAATTCCTTTTTCCATCATAAATTTCGTGTAAGCTTTTCTTGTAAGTTTTTTAAATCTATTCTATTAAGAAATGTCTTATTTCTTTTGTTTGTTTTACTTTTTTATTTTTTTGATGTTGTTTTATCTTATTTTTTTTTGTTTTTTTATCATTTTTTGTTTTTTATTTCTATGCCATATTTTATTTTTTCATCGAATGAAGTAAAAAAACTAATTGACGTTTAGATTGGTTTTTTTGTGTGTTGTTCACTTTTTATGTTGCACTTACTCTTAGTTTGACTTATTTTATTTTATTAATTAATTTTTTTTATTTTATTGATCATTTTAGTTAAACAAAAAAATCGTACCATACGGCTTCTTTTTTGTTTGTTTTATTTGATATTTTTTGTTTGTTAACTTTTTTGTTTGTTTTTAAAAAAAACAAACAAAAACACTAAATTCATGGTATGCTATTTTTTAACTAAAATGTTCAATAAAATAAAACTCATCAATTAATAAAATAAAATAAGTCAAACTAAGAATAAGCGAAACATAAAAAGAGAACAACCCGAAAAAAGAACGAATCCAAATGCTAATTAATTTTTTTCTTCATTTTTATGAAAAAAAAAATATAAAAATATTACAAACAAAAAATAATAAAGAAACAAAAAAATAAGACAAAACAATATCAAAAAAATAAAAAATTAAAACAAAGAATAAGATGAAACACTTTTTAAGAGAATAGGTAAAAAAAATTTAAAAAAAAGTTCACAAAAAACTCAGAAACAAACAAACAAATAATATAAAAGTATCAAGAAAAAAAAGATAAAAAACAAAAAAATTTAACAAAAAACAAACAAATAAGATTGAAAAAAAACCCAAAAAATGTGAAAAAGGAACGACAAAAAGAGGGAGCTCAAGAAGAGAGTGAGGGGGGTGAAGGAAAAAAAGAGGAAAGGAAGGGGGGCTGGTGTTGGAACACACTTTGTACGTTAAACTAAAGTCGTGTTCATTTCTGCCAGGTTTTGATAATTGCCAAACCGCCGTGGATATGAAGAGTTTCGTTGAATAACTCAAGGCGTGAAGAATGGCTTGGAACAAGACCTAAAAGACTCATGGACAAGATCAAGAATTGAAGACTTAGTCGAGTCGGTGTTTTGGGATCAAAACCGACAATTTATTCAAGTCTCGGTTCTCAAAAAGTCAAAATAATTTTTACAAACCATAAAACATTTTTTTGTGCATCAAAACAAACATTTTTGATGACTTCTTTTAGTGTTAAAAATCCCTGGTCCTTGCTCAGAACCAAAACCACCTAAGTCGGCGTTCGGCTTTTGGCGTTCGGCTTTCGACGTTCGGTTTTCGGCGTTCGGTTTTTGGCGCCCGAACCAACTCCGTGGTTTTCAATATTTTAAACCCTGTTTTTATCTCTGAGCATATTTTAAAGGTTCCCGAATAATTACTTTATAAAAACCACATTTGTATCTTGGTCAATCGGTCTAACACGTGAAAAACGGTCAAAACCGTACGCACGTGATTTACGACCTTGAGGACTTGGTTTTTACCAAACAAATCTTGTTTTCACTATTTTATACCATATACAATGTTTTTCATACTTGGTTTTTACTTTTGGGAACACTTCGTTTTTGGACCTCGGTTTTTCAAAACGGGTTTCAGCTGGCTAGACTTTAGCTGGGTGATAATCGATTATCACCTTAGTGACAATCGACTATCAGCCACTGCAGCTTTGAACTTCCAAGTTCTGAAGCACGCAATAATCGATTATCAGCTTTGCAATAATCGATTATCAGCCTTTGCAGCCAAAACCCAGAATCTTCAGAGAGGACCAATAATCGATTATCACTTGTTGACAATCGATTATCTGGGTTACCGTTGTCCTCCAACGGATAGAATTTTAAATTTTTGGACAGGGAATCTTTGGATAATCGATTATCATGGTTTGACAATCGACTATCAGCCTGTGTCCCTGAAAAATTTGTCTTCATCCTGTTGGAAATTCTAGCAACGG